GAATGCAATCTCTGAAATAAGTTAAACTCTAGACATTTAAGCAATTTTTAATTACATAATACCCTCCTGCCACTTCTGTATCTCACCTCATCTTCAAAAAGTGTGCAAACGTAAACATAAATGTACTTCTAGAATAACAGAAAGTAAGTAGTAGTAAATTACACTGGACAAAAAGTCCTCTGTAGTTATGTTATTGAAGAAAATTTAAGGAGACATCAGTTTTCCTGTAATAAGTTAAGTGCTTTAAAAATGACATAAACTCAATCCCATAAGAAAATACCAAATATCTGGCATAATTTTGTTGACAGTAGAATGTAAGTCTACAGTGGAGATGAGTGTATTGTGATAATGTAAATATGCCAAACTTACCAAACAGAGCTATTTGGCAAGTCTCTCTGTCCCTTTGATCTCCCTGGCTAACATATTTGTAAAACAGATGTAATAACAATTGCTTTGCAGAAAGACTGATTGGATGCAATAGATGATGTGTATAAAATAAGTGGAACAACAATAAATATTAGTTCACTTTTTGTTGTTCCCTCGGCATTGTTGATAACAAAGCTTAAATGCAGGCTTAAATGGAAAATACACGTGGGGGGAAGTATTAAACGCTGTTGCTTCTGCACAGTGAAGCATATTACGCATATTACTTATGAATATACGGGAAGCACTGGTGATGTCTTAGGTGAATTCCCAGGAGGCAGGCTCCTCGTGGGCAAGCGTGGATTAGTGATCAGGAAGTGAGAGGCAGGAGGGAAGCGGCCCTGGGGAAGGCGGGCTGGACTTAGAATCGCAGCCATGTTATCAGTAAATCTGAAGCTGGAATGGCCTTTTGAGCCAAGAAGTTGGGAGGTTTTGCTCCCAGGAAGGAACAAATTCAGAAGAGCCCCCTTCACCTGAAGGCAGTGCTTGGGGAGGGACCTGGGGACTCAGGACAACATACAGGCATGAGTGGACACGTGTCCTTGGTAACGCAACTCCCGTCAAGACGGCAGCAACTGTCAGAAAGTAAAGTCAGGTCTCACCTGTGGGACCAGGGGCTCCTACCTAACCAGCACATGTGGTATATCTTTTCACTGCAACCTTCAGAAGGTCATTTTAGGTAATAAGTCAGATGACATGAGAAATGTCACATTTTGCTCAGAAATACAGAAACCATATTTTAGATAGGGTGATGACCCTCTTATTCATTCTAGGATATATTAGAATACGCTTATAGGCATGTAACTATACAATGTTCTACAGTCATTCAGAACCAGTGTTACTAATTTTTTCCAGTTAGACAACCTCAAATAGATAACAAAGCTAGACCCATGTCTCAGTGGACATTAACTTGAGCAAACTCCAGGAGAATGTGGAAGACAGAGGAGCCTGGCTTGTTGCAGTCCGTGGGGTCACAAAGAGTCAGACATGACCTAGCAACTTAACAGTCGCAACTATTACTTATTTATTTGCATCTCTAAAAGTAAGCTATGGATAAGGTTGAATGCATCCAGGCAAATATTTCCAATATCTTACTGCTTTTTTGGCACTCCCACACTGACTTCAAGTTTGAAATCTGAAATGAGGTGATTTTATAAAGATGGAAGAAGTTCACAGCAGCCATTCCATGTATGTGCATCTTCAAGGAGAAGGCTATTTCCTTCTAGTCCCATTTCTTTCTCTGGATAAACTAAAGATGATAATGCTCAACTAAAAATTTACATGATCCATTATTCCTGAGAATTCCTAATACTAGCTTGGTCACTCTGTGAGTAAAGTAAGGACAATTAATCACATGACGCTCAGAACTGGGCTCCCTCCTTATTCCCAAAAGGTCAAAAAAGTACATTTCTAGTGTGGAAAGACAGAGGGACATACAAAAGAAATAATATGTTCCTATAGCAATGTAAAATAACAACTTAATTTGAGAGTTGATTGCCTGTAGTTAGATCCACCTGTAGTTAAATCCACCTGTCAGAGGTGAGGGCTCCTCTGATGTGTGATTTCAAATCAAACTGAGATAACCCAAACCAAGGGCTCCCATTAATTCATAATCATTTTCACAACTTTTACTAATTTGATGCTAAAAAAAGAAACTTTGGAAAATAATATGCAAAGAAAATGTAGCAATGAAATTTGTTAAGCACCATATTGATTATTGCATTGTTGGGAATGATAGAATCATAACATAAATTCAATTTTTCTATATTCTCTTAAAATAATTTTTCTCCTTCAATAAATAAAATCACCATTTCTACAGCATATTCATTTTGGGGAGACAGTATACTATAGGATGCAGCTACATAGTGAATAAGACTGGAATTTGACTCCTAGTTTGACCACTTAAGAGTTGGGTGATCTTTAGTACAGGATTCAATTAACATTATCCCCAATTTCCACATCTATAAGAGGATGATAAAGGAAATATCTCTCTGGGTGTAAAGAAAAACAAATGAGAAAATGTACATAAAGTCTTTAGTACAATGCTAGTCCATTATATGTGGGCTGATGTAATTATTTTGAAATATTTGATTTAAGGAACTCAGTCCTATGACTTGAAAGTTGTTGACCATCCTAAATTTCATCTGAGATTAGCTATGACTTGAGTTTCTAAACTCTTGAGTTTCTTTCTATGATGCAACTTATTACTTCTCCAAAGAGGATTGCAAATACCAAGGTAAGCGAGGTAAAACACTGAAGCTGACACCATGACCACCCGTGAAATCTAGCAGGACCCCTCTGGGTCTCCTGGGCACAAAAGCTGGCGTTTCTTGATTAGAGGAAACAGGCTTCATTTAGCCTCCAAGACCTTCCCAGAGCTGCAGGTCCAAACATTTGCTAATTAGGGAAGGGAGGGGATGCAGAGACAAGAGGAGCCTCAAGAAATAACAGTGCAGCCTTGGGGCAGGGTCCTTGTTCTCCTTCGAGGGATACACATAACATTTTCTCTGAGCTGCTGTGAAGATCCTGAAACCCCCAGCAGCGGGGAGGAGTTAACAAGAAGCACACAGACCTCACACCAGCTGGGACACGAAGGCTGATGATGCCGATTCCCATTTAGCTCACCACTGACCCATCAGAAGAAGGTCCACGAGCCCATCACACTCTCTCTGGACCAGTACTGTGAACTCCCCACTATCCCCTCCAAGTTCCCATACACAGTTCTGAGGTCATTAGCCCACTGCGGTCCCCTCTGCCTGGAAAGCAATAAAGCTGTTCTAACTTCACCCAAAACTCTGTCTCTGCAATCTAGTTCAATGTCAGTGCACACAGACCTGGATTGGGCTTCACACCAACACCAACTGAACGAAAAGCAAGTTGAAACGGAATCATGCTGCACTTCACATGATTTCACCTTAATGGTAATATAGGGAAAAGATTGTCCTTAGGAGATTCAAAATGGAGGTCATGAAATCTGTATTTCTAAATATGACTTAGTAAGTCCATGGCCTCACTAGCTCGTCTTGGAGCTATGAAATTGATTAATTCTTATTTACTTCGCAATGATTATTTTTTTTATATTTCTTTGACCAGTAAGATCCATAATTAACCTTTTGTCATACAAAAGAAAGAGAAACACACAGTCCTATTAGAATATTCCAGCTCATTCATACTAAAAATACAAAGGAAGGTAGAAATACTTTCCATTTAAAAAAATACTGTTTTTTTTTTCTTCTCCTTTCAGTGGCCTTGAAGCAAACTACTGTCAACCACAAGTTGGCATTTGCCACGGGTGCCCACCATCTACTTCTACAAGGATGAGATCTGTGCTGCAGCTGCTGACCTCCGACACCCCGGGACGGCCTTCAGGGTGGAGCGCAGAGGTGAGGCCCTCTGTGCGCCTAGAAAACTGGCAGAACAGGTCTTCAGGCAGCTAGATATTCTCAGGAGCTGATTCTAGGAGCCCAGTTACTATATCTCCTTATGTCTAGAAAGGCACTAAAACCTTTCATGGTGACGACTGTTTCTCCTGACTTGCAGAAGCTTCATGAGACAAGCGGAAACATTCTACAAAGAAGTATGCATTTGACTGCATATACTCCCCCTTCACCAAAATCACACACACACCATCTTTCCCCACCTCACTGGAGCAGTTTCTCGGAGCTACTGAGTTGCCATCTCTCAGGCTGAGTCCTCATGTTGCCCCAAATAAAACTTAAGTCGCAACTGTCACATTGTGCAATTATTTTAGTCAACTCTACAAAATTATGTTTGCCTTCAATATCAAATATTACAACAAATCGAAATCCAGTCTCATATTTAAAGGTTAATAAAACTGAGATAAAACATATCTTATCAATGAAACATCCAACCAGACCACAATACTGTTAACTCTTTGGCGTTACTGTTAGTTTAGCCCCCCTAAGTCCTGCTGCAGGATTCTACCCTCCCTTCCCTCATCTGTCCCTGCTTTTATTAATAATCTTCCATTTGTTTCAAAAATACATATGCGCTCTTTCTAAAATCTGCTTACTCCTAAATTCAGCTTATACTTTTAAAAGTAGTCTAAAGTGATTAAGCAAACCATGAATTTTCACTAGCAAATTTAAAGAATCTGTACATACTAAAAGATCACATTTTATTGGTTAAAACTTCAACATGAAAAGTATGTATTTTTTAAAACAAATTGCAATCTTACTAACCAAATGAGGCCCCAACATGCATAAAACAAACATAAAAACAATTGTTTTATATAAAATATAGAAGGATGTTAATTTTCAAATAATTAAAGCCAAATATCAACAAAATCTAATGTCAACTTTTTCTAATTATCGTAAATGTCCTGGTAGGTCACAATCCCAATCATAATACATTTACACATAGACAACAACAGAATTTCCCCTTGTCCCTCAAAGAGCTGTGAGAAATTCTTTCAACATACTATGCTGATAAACCTTTTATTTACTGTTTTCCTGGTTTTAAAAATAGAGCTTACTCTATTCTTTTATTTCCACATCTGCAGGTACATAAAGAACTTGATGATATAAAATTGAAAATATAGCTTCAGAAACACTTACCATTGTCGTTTTTCACCATCCCGTTGCTGAGCTGCTTTAACCTCTTTTGATGTGATTTGCCGTTGTAGTGGATTTGGGCTTGAGCAGTCGAATTCAGCTGAATGTTACACACGTTGCACAAAGTGAAATTGGTTTGTTTCTTTTCTTTTTCTGGTTTCTCTTCAAAGCCATCAGGTGAAAACTCAGCCTCACACTCTCCATCTTGGACACATGCGGAATCTAGGTTACAAAGAAAGCTATGAACAAGCCAATCAAGGTTCCTGGATTCCTATGAACATTAGGTTATTTGCATTCTTTTTTTTTAATTAGAGTTTTCATCTTTTCTGGATATATATCCAGGAGTAGAATTGTTGGATCATATGATAATGCTATTTTTTAAATTAATTTATTTTTTATTGAATGATAATTGCTTTACAGAATTTTGCTGTTTTCTGTCAAGCCTCAACATGAATCAGCCATAGGTGTACATACATCCCCTCCTTTCTGGAGCTCCCTCCCATCTCCCTCCCCATCCCACCCCTCTAGGTTGATTCAGAGCCCCTGTTTGCGTTTCCTGAGCCTCATAGCAAATTCCCATTAAAGAAACTTCTATACTCTTCTCCACTAGTGAGTGAAGTGAAGTTGCTCAGTCGTGTCCAACTCTTTGCGACCCCGTGGACTGTAGCCTACCAGGCTCCCCCGTCCATGGGATTCTCCAGGCAAGAATACTGGAGTGGGTTGCCATTTCCTTCTCCAGGGGATCTTCCCAACCCAGGGATCGAACCTGGGTCTCCCGCATTGCAGGCAGACGCTTTACCGTCTGAGCCCCCAGGGAAGCCCACGCGGGCTGCATTAATTTACAGTTCCAACAGTGTAGGAGCATTATTTACAATTGCCAAGACATGGAACAATGAAAATATCCATCAAGAATGAATAAATGCATACGTGTATGTATTTACACTGTATACATACAGTGTATACACTACTCAGCCATAAAACGCAATGAAATGCTGCCATTTGCAGCAACATGGATGGACCCAGAGGTGACCGTACTAAGTGAAGGAGGGTGAGAAAGACAAAAATCATATAACTTATATGTGAAAGCTAAAAAAATATGATACAAACAAACTCACTTACAAGATAGAAATGCACTCACAGACATAGAAAACAATCTCATGGTTATCAAAGGGGAAATGTGAGAGGGATAAATTAGGAGATTGGAATGAACAGATATACACACCACTGTATATAAAATAAACCACAAGGCCCTACTGTATAGTGCAGGGAACAAAATTCAATGTTTTGTAATAATCTATAACAAAAGAGAACCTGAAAAAGGACATATATGTGTGTGTGTGTGTATTATGTAACTAAATTACTTTTCTGTACAGCTAAAACTAACACAACATTGTAAATCAACTGTACTTCAATTAAAAAAAATCAATAAAAAATTAAAAATAATAAAATAATTCTTCGATTCCTTCATATTACTAAGCATTGTGCTAGACACTTCCCTGGTGATTCAGATGGTAAAAATCCGTCTGCAATGTGGGAGACCAGGGTTGGATCTCTGGGTTGGGAAGGTCTCCTGGAGAAGGGAACGGCAACCCACTGCAGTATTCCTGCCTGGAGAATCCCATGGACAGAGGAGATTGGTTGGCTACAGTTCACGGGGTCACAGAGAGTCAGACATGACCGAGTGACTAACACACACAGAGACGCTTATAATTCAAAATTTCCACTTCTTCCCATTTTAGTAGGTTGCTTTCAGACTGTACATTATATCGTTATATCTTTCATGGTGTGCAAATTGAGGTAGGAGGTAGGTGAGCACCCCCCCGCCCCACCACCAGGTAAAGCAATTGGAGATTCATTCCCTGTGGACGGAAACTCCAAAACTAGAATAGCAAGACAATTAAGGGAGGAGGCTGGGCCCTGCGCAGTCCACGGAGTCCTCATTTCCAAAGTCAGGAGTCTTCCCTGACCACACATGTGCAGAAAAGACTCCTTGCAGGCCGAAGGGGAGTTACGCCAAGGGCTGTTCCCTCCCCAGACACCTTTTCTCTTGGCTAAGAGAGGCGTGTGCACACAGGTAAGGATCCTGAGACACACCAACACGGACTGTGAGCCAGGCACGTAAAAACGACTGGCCAGCGGAAACCTGGAAAGGAAAAGTAATTCAAGCAGCCTTTAGGGCACAACTCCTACCCGTGAGTGTATCCACATGTGTGGTTCTCTTCCTGCTACTAAACACTTCACTTGCTTCACTGCTTTCCATCTCTGTGGGAATTCTTCTCTGCAAAGTGACAGGGCCCTTGTCACTGCCTACAGGTCTAGTAGCTAGGACCTGGTGTTTTAACTGCTGTGAACCAGACCAGTCTCTGGCTGGGAACCCAAGCCCCGCTCCAAGCCATTGCAGGCAGAGGGCACTGGAGATCAAAATGGCAAGGCTTTCACTTTGCTTTTGCCAGGCCAAATACCAAGCTAAATGTCATTTTAAATGACAAACATCATAAGAAAGGAAAAGGAAACAATGAAGAACTATAGTCTTTCCTGTTTCAAACTGAGGAAGCTGAGGTTTACAGTGCATAAAGAATTCACCTAGGGTCACGCACCTAAAAATGGTACCGTTGGGATCACCATTCAATTTTATTTATCTCCATATCACAAGCTCTTACTTGCCATGCGCTTTAGTAACTCCTAATGTAGCCAGGAAGGGTTAATTTTGATTTCATGCTAAATCTGTCTCTTTGACTTGAACCCCTGTGGTTGCTGCTTTTGTTAGTATAATCACACATAATGGCCTGCCATAGAGAACCCTGCCTCCTGGGCCTTATCCTTAAACTAAAGTGCCTTTGCTTAGCTCACAGGGCTGAAATCACGGATGGCTGTGCCATCCTTGATTTCTTGTGTAGGGAGTGTGGTTTGTCAGCATGGCTCAGAAACTGATGTTTGGAGGGATGGAATCAAAGATAACTGAGACATGCTTGTTTATTGATATGGCAGTAGACATTCCATTTCACACCACCTGTGAAATGACTGTAAGAAAAAGAAAGTAACACATCTACCTGCCTGAGGCTTGCCATTCTAGGAAATGCTTGCAAGAATTAAATGGTCTTTTTTATTTTGCTCCCTCACCTCCCCCATCTCTGATCCATAAAAGAAACTGGCATCCAGGCCCCAACAAGATGGTTATTTTGAGATGTTAGTCTGCCATCTTCTCAGTCAGCAGGCTTTCCAGTAAAGCTATATTTTTTGCCTCAACATTCCATCTTGAGGATTCACTGTCCTGTCCTGTGGTAAACAGAGTGAGCTTGGACTTGGTAAAGGGGGTGTTTCACCTTTCACAGCTGCTGAAAACAAATAATAAATGCTACTTTCACTTTTCATCTTTTATTTTGTAAAATCAAAATTCATCTTCAAATTTCTTTCAGTAAGCAAAATAAAGTAATAAAATAATGTATGCCTTCCTAAAAGAAATGTCGTATAAAGCAAGCAAACTTTCCAAAAGAGAGGGTACCTGTATTAGCTTCCCTACCTCTCAAATTTATGGTGGGAATTAAAGAAAAGGGAGCTTGCATGATAGGGAAAAGGAACTGTTTGCTCCATTAAAGGATACATTGTTGTTCAATTGCTAAGTCGTGTCTGAACTTTTCTAACCCCACTAACTGCAGCATATCAGGCTTCTCTGTCCATCGCTAACTCCCGGAGTTTACTCAAACTCATATCCATTGAGTCGGTGATGCCATCCAACCATCACATCCTCTGTTGTTCCCTTCTCCTCCTGCCTTCAGTCTTTCCCAGCATCAGGGTCTTTTCCATTGAGTCAGTTCTTCGCATCAGGTAGCCAAAGTATTGGAGCTTCAGCTTCAGCATCGGTCCTTCCAATGAATATTCAGGGTTGATTTCCTTTAGGAAGGACTGGTTTGATCTCCTTGCAGTCCAAGGGATTCTCAAGAGTCTTCACCAGCACCACATTTTGAAAGCATCAATTCTTTGGTGCTCAGCCTTCTTATGGTCCATTCTCACATCCATGAATGACCACTGGTAAAACCATAGCTAAGACTATCTGGACCCTTGTCGGCAAAGTATGTCTCTGCATTTTTATAGGCAGTCTAGGTTTTTCATAGCTTTTCTTCCAAGGGGCAAGTGTCTTTTAATTTCAAGGCTGCAGTTACCATCCACGGTGATTTTGGGATACCATTAATGCATTAGAGATTTCCTTCTTGATTTCTACAACTAAATAAAATTCTCATACTTTAATATTCCTTATCAATTAAGTAAAATCACTACATTTAGATGGACATATTTTACATATACAAAAAAGCTAAAATTGTTTCAGTATCTAAAAATGTATGGTTTGCACCTCAAATACACAAGACATTCTGAACATCTAAGATAGCTTCATAGGGTGCAAAAAAGTGTGACAGATCTAAGGATTATATCAGAATACATTATTTTTGGACAAATATAAGGTATGTATACTCACTCAAATCTAAGAGAAAAATCAACTAACAATTGCAGTATCTCTGACCTTAAGATAATAATTTAAGTAACTATTGAATACATATTTTACTCATTACTTATAGATCACTTAAAATAATCCTAAATTAGGAATTGAGTTTAAAATATATACACTACAATATATGTTAGATAATAAAAAAAGGACCTACTGTATAGCACAAGGAACTCTACTCAATATCATGCAATAATCTAATGGAAAAATCTATATATGTACATTTATATGTATATATGATTGAATCACTTTGCTGTATGTATGCCTGAAATGAACACATCGTGAATCACATATATTTCAACAAAAATTTTACAAAACCAATTGACTACACAATAGGAAAAATAAAAAAAGTGGCATCCCGGATGGAATGCTGGAAAAAAGAAAAACATTTGTTTAAAAAAACTCTGTGCTCAGTTGCTCAGCCGTGTCCAACTCTGCAACCCCGTGGACTGAGGCCCACCAGGCTCCTTGGTCCACGGGACTTTCCAGGGAAGAATACTGGTACTGGAGTGGGTTGCCGTTTCCTTATGGGAGGGGAGAGAGAAGAAAAAACCCTAGTAAAGTCTAAATAAAGAATAGAGTGTCAGCAATATTACTACTACATTACTGGGGACAAATGCACCAGACTAATCTGTTAACAATAGAGCAAAATATGTAGGTGGGGTTTATGGAACTCAACTAACTTGATAACTTTTCTGCTAATCTAAAGCTACTCTAAAATAAA